TCATTGTCAATCTTGCCTACTTTTGTTTGTTTGTTTTCGAGACAGGGTTTCTCTGCGTAGCTTTGGAGCCTCTCCTGGCACTGGCTCTGTAGACCAGGCTGGCCTCGAACTCACCTGCCTCTGCCTCCTGTGCGCCACCAACGCCCGGCCCTTGCCTACATTGTCATCCCGCTCACTTTCTTAAATGTTAAAAAGCAATGCCCAGATTTATATCTTTATTCTTTTTACATTTTCATTTATTTTGTGCCAAGGCACCTATGTGGAAGTCAGGGGGACTGCTTTTGGGAACCAGTTTCCTGGTTTTGTTTTCTGAGACTATAAGCCCTGGCTGACCTATTATTTGCTATATTGACCCAGCGGTCCCTGAACTCACCAGAAATCCACCTGCCTCTGGCACTACTATGTTGACCAGGCTGGCCATGAACTTAGATATCCTCATGACTCTGTCTCTGGAATGCTGGGGTTAAAGGCATGGGATTCTGTTAGGTCTCAACTGGAAACAAATGGCTGAGATACCTATTTAACATATCAAATTGGATTTGGCTGCCAAGTTCTCCCATCATCCCTCAGTACTCAGTGTTACAGGGCAAGGCTGGCATAGCCCGCCCCAACCCTTAAACTTCTCCAGCCCAGCGGCTGGGCTGCCCTTCCCTGTATAATCCAGCCATTTTAGTTACTGGGTCTTTTGTCTACCCTTGACTCTCCTGGTCTCCTGGCTGTCTCCCCCCCTCCCCACATGGCCCCCACTCAGGGTCATGTTCACTCTGGACTCTGGATGTCTCTGCCTCTGGCTATGCTCTCCCTTAAATCTATATAAAAAAAATTTCCCCTCTTCCACCATACCTAGGAGCAGTCATGTCTTTCCTTTTTTAATTTTTTCATTCCGCTACCATGCCCAAGACTGCCTTTTTCATTTTTAATAGATTACTTTTAAAATCTAGTCTCTCCTACGATGGCCATGTTAGTGTGATAAGGTCTTCACTCTTAAGGAATGTTTATCATTAACTAAAGCCCATCATGTATTCAAATTCCTGTCTGCCTTCTATCCATCTTCCGAGCCAGAATCAAGGTCTTCACTCTTAAGGAATGTTTATCATTAACTAAAGCCCATCATGTATTCAAATTCCTGTCTGCCTTCTATCCATCTTCCGAGCCAGAATCCAACATTATTTTTAGTTATCTTTCCATGGCTGGGGCAGTTTCTCCTGACTGGCCACTTCCAGGAGTACTGATCCGGCGTTTGGAAGCATGCCCCATGAGCATGAAGTTTGTCCGATGCAGTTCTCACGATAGGAATGGAATGTTAGTTGTTTAGAGGACCAGGGAGGCAAAGTGACATTTTTATTGAATGGTATCTCTTAGGACGATGCTAAAATGAGTGGTGTGTGCTGAACAATGCCTTGGGGAACTGTGAGAGAAGCTCCAGGAGAAAACTCACAGGGCCTTTTACCTCAGGTGCATTTTGTTCTCTGGATTGTTCTTGGTCATGATTCTGTGCCTCCTGGGACAAACATTTACATTCAGATGAAGGTCAGATCGTAGCTATAGAACCCGATCTGGTCAGCGTACCCTGAATCTGGACAAGACCATTGCCTTGCTTTCATGCTTTCCCAGATATAATCTTTAGTATGTGCCAGGCACTGTGTTTAAATTGGTCTGTCCTGAGAAAGTTCCCAGAAAGGGCTGCTCTATCAATAGTATGTGTGTACTGGCATCTACCTACATGTTTTTCTGATGGTGCTTTTCTCTGGATCATTGCTTTCTTTGTTACTGCTGTACTCTGTAAAAGTGCAGTGAAACTGAAGTAAGGTTGTCTACAGTGTGTCAGCCCCATTCTTTCAGGGTCCTCAGATCCCAGGTCCAGCACACAAGGCCTGCACAGGTTGACCAAAATCAATAGATGTCAAAACACACACTTTTATGAACATGATTTAAGATAAAGCTAACAGATTTGATCCTGTAGCTGACATAGTATTTATTACATGTCTCCCCTTCCTACAGTGTGCTGTGGGAGGAAGCTATCATGCCAAACGCACGTCTGAATAGAGTAAGGTCTCCCCCTTCCGACAGTGTGCTGTGGGAGGAAGCTATCATGCCAAACGCACGTCTGAATAGA